CCCCCCCCCCCCCCCCCCCTGGAAGCCCATCCCCCCCCCCCCCCCCCGGCCCTTTCCCTATCTCCTGCCTTCCCCTCCTGTGCAGGATGCAGACAGTCACACTCCCATGGCCCCCACGTCCCTTTTTGTAGGTCAGTGCTTTTCTCCCCTGTTAATCTGTCTGTTACCAGTTTGCTTTATAGACTCAAATTATCGAAACTTCAGGGTGAAAACTTAAAGACGCTACACTTCCCAAGTCTCTTTTGAAGGTTAGTTTGTTCTCAGCCTAACACTCTAGACTCAACTTCCTCTCTGCAAATTTCCCCTTGCCCTGGGGCAATAGCTACGCCTCTGGCCCTGTGTCCCCATTGCTGCGTAGCCTGGCTGGTCTCAGAGGCTACAGCTGGTTCTTGTCCTCTCCTCTACACACCAGACCCTCAGGAAAGACCCTGGCTCCTGGCCTGTCTCCTCTGTTTAACTCCCTCTCACTGATTCCCCTTGAAGAGAGAAGGGAAGAGCTCAGCCCCTGGAATACAGGGGAGACAGAGAGACAAACTGCACATGTAAGGGAGAAAGTGGCAGCAAGGCAAGCGGCTTTGCCACACCCAGTCCCCACTACTGGGGCAGACTCCTCTCCCCCGCCTCTGTGTAGGTGTGTCGGTGTGTGCGCGTTGCGCATGCGCGTATTGCAGTGGGGGAGCTTTTGAGGACGGATCCAGTGGCCGAGCAGAAGAACCTGCACTGGGGTCATGCACGTGGTCTTTTTTATCAAGCTTGGCATTCTTTCTGGGCTACAGACAGAGTTAAATTTTCCATATGTCCAGCGATCTAAGCAAAGATGAGGACACATTCCCAGCAGTGCCTGTGTCCTGCACCCTCCAGTTGGCATCACCTTGGTCTCTGCGTCCCTTCCTGTCCCCGCCCTCACGCTGTCCATAAGCACCACTCCCCTTTGCTCACCTCCTACACACAGACCGCACCCATGAATGGACCCTCGCAGGGGCCGGGGCTTCTCAGCTACACGTGGTCAGAAACTCTCCTCACCTTTGTCCTCAGGAGGAGAGGTAGCGAAGCCTCTGGCTGCCTCACCCACAGATGGGGGAGAGTGTGGTGTCCTGGGCCACGGGCCAGAGTCCAGGTGCTCCGGGAAATGTCACAGGCCCCCTGAGAGCACAACTGGATGCCCCCCCCGCCAGCCCGTGCTGCTGCTGGCCCTGGACCCGGAGCTAAAGGAGGTTCATGGGCTGAGCTGGTAGGACTGTCCTTCCAACCGCTGGGCCAAGTGCATTCGACAAAGTTAGTCCCAGGTGCGAGCTTGCTGAGTTTTCATTTTCTTCTTCCCAGACTCTGGTGTCAAGGGTGAGGGGTGGGGTGGCAGGGGGATCCTCTGAGAGACCTAGGTCAAGTTAGGCGTTATGGAGCTGGAGCAGCCGGTTCTAAGGATAAAAAAAGATGGAGAAAAAGGTGATGGGGAGAAGTAGCGGTTGACGGGGAAGCTCCTTCACTCAGTCCACGAGTGTTCAGCGGGTGCAGTCCCCAGCCGGGGAGGACGTTGGCTGGGAGGCCCAGGGTTGAGAAGCTGGAGGAGGAGGCAGAGAGGGGACGCTGGGGGCACCTCCCGAGGAGGCTGGCGAGACGCTGCGGGTCGCGGGTGGGAAGCGATGCTGCGGCAGGGACTCGGTCCCACCCCTGCTACTCAGGAGCACGGAGGCGTGGCGGCCTCTCCCGCCTGCGGCCCCTCGGCAGCCGGCTCCTCCTCAGCCCCGTCCTCTCTGCCCACCAGCGGCTCCTCCTCCCCCTTGAAGCTGGACCCCGAGCCACACTTCAGCTCCTCCAGCGCCAAGGAGCCCTGGCGAGACTTGCGTCTGCCGAAGAAGGTGGTGAGCAAGGGCCGCTGGCCAGACCCCTCCCCCTCGGGGACCCCAGAGCCCTTGTGGCCCCCGGACCCTCCCGCTATTGCTGTCACGGCCTCCTCGTCAGGGACCCGAGCTGGCCCAGCCCAGGCGTCCACCACCCCATTGGGCTTTCCGCCTCCGTTTAGTGTGAGGACCCCTGTCCTACGCTTCTGCCACCGGCGCCACAGCAGGAGAAGTACCACGAGGACTAAGACCACCAGCAGGGCCACAAGCACAGCCACCAGCATCATGCCTTTCGACCCCTGATGTGAATTTGCAGTGGGCAGAGTGCTCATCGCTGGGGTGGCAGGGGGACCACTGGCCCTGCTCGTCGCTGTGATGACAGGGGGACCACTGGCCCCACTGGAGGTTTCCAGAGCACTCGCTGATGTGGTGACAGGGGGACCACTGGCCCCACTGGAGGTTTCCAGAGCACTTGTTGCTGTGGTGACAGGGGGAACTCTGGCCCCACTGGAGGTTTCCAGAGCACTCGCTGATGTGGTGACAGGGGGACCACTGGCCCCACTGGAGGTTTCCAGAGCACTCGCTGCTGTGGTGACAGGGGGACCACTGGCCCCACTGGAGGTTTCCAGAACATTCGTTGCTGTGGTGACAGGGGGACCACTGGCCCCGCTGGAGGTTTCCAGAGCACTCGTTGCTGTGATGACAGGGGGGCCACTGGCCCCACTGGACGTCTCCAGAGCACTCGTCACTGTGATGACAGGTGGGCCAGTGGCCCCGCTGGAGGTTTCCAGAGCACTTGTTGCTGTAGTGACAGGGGGACCACTTGCCCCGCTGGAGGTCTCCAGAGGGCTAGGTGTCACGTGTCCACCCATCACAGTGTGGGATCCTATTGCTATGGGGACAGCAGAGTCACTTGAGGTTTCTAGAAGCACTGATGACTTCTTGTAGGAAACTTCCTGAGAGGTTGTTGGCTCAGGGGGGCCAGTGCTGGCACTAAAAGAAGTCCCAATTTGTTCCTCATTGTCAGTTGTAGACAGTGGGGTTGAGATCTGGTCCCCGGTGCTGTCAACCTTAGGGTCCCTTATTGCTGAGCCAGTGGCGGTCACTGAGTTGAGGTTCAGGGCCTCAGGCATATCTGAGACCAAAGAAGCAGAAGACCCTCCAGGGGGAGATGTCTGCAAAGTTGCCATATACTCCGGAGACTGTGGGCTCACCATCTGGGCCCAGAAGCCCCCAAAGAGGAGGAGGAACAGGGCCATTTCCAGGGCAACAGGCATGAGCAGGCACGGGGACCTGGGGGGCGAAATTGGAGAAATAGAACGCTTGGGAGCGGGGGACCTGGCCAGCCCTCCCCTCCTGCCACTTCCCTGCCAACTGCCAGGCCTAGCTTGTGGTTTAACGGCTCCTTCCACCCTTACTTTTTTTTTTTTCTTTAAAGATGACTGGTAAGGGGATCTTAACCCTTGACTTGGTGTTGTCAGCACCACGCTCTCCCAAGTGAGCCAACCGGCCATCCCTATATAGGGATCCGAACCCGTGGCCTTGGGGTTATCAGCACCATGCTCTCCCAAGTGAGCCACGGGCCGGCCCTCAACCGTTACTTTTATGATTATCAGAAATAACAAGGAAATGGGTACCAGCAGCTCCCCCATCAACCCATCTGATAGGACCCTCAGGCCTTAGCAGCTCAGACTCCAGCCACAGCCACCTCCTGGCCTCCCTGATCCTATTCAGTGGCTCCTGATCCTCTCCCAATCACCTGTCAGGAGCTTTTCAAGCCACAGGCACATGCCCAGGTCCCTGCCCCACCAGGTTGCACCCCCTTACCAGCTCAGTGGATAAGAGCACAGGGCTGGGGCCAGGCCACTCCAACTCCTCCTGAGGCCGGGGCAGGACTGGGTCAGAGAGAGCTTCAAGGGGAAAGGAAGTGAGCCCTGGCTCCACCCCCACACCCTGCATCCTGCCTTAACCACCCTGGTGTGGTGACAGCTCCATCACCTGCCTGGGGCTCTGGAGGCCCAGCTGAGGCAGGAGGGGATGCTGGGTGGGGGAGGATCCTGGAATGGGGATTCCTGGGTCTTAGCTGGGTAGCAGGATGGGAAGAGGTGACGCTGGAAGAGCTGGGGGCATGGGAATGTGTGCTTGACAGCTAGGGGTGCAGAGGAGGAGATGGGAGGGGAGAGTGGTTTCCTTTGCATCTGTGGTTCCTGAGCTGTTAGGGCAGGACCTGAGGTGGCGCCACTTCCTGGCTCCACACAGGAAGTAGCAGGGCAAGGGGTATCCCCTGGCTCTGGCTGGGGCTGTGAAAGCCTTTGCAGGCTGGAGCCCCTGACTGCTCACATGGAGCTGGGGCCACCACTAGCCTTGGCTTAACTCAACCAAGGCAGTTATGAACAACTGCACATGCTGTGATACCATTTTTGTAGAAGGCTGGTGATGCTGTGGGAATTTACACAGAAAACAGTCTGGAAAGATATCTATGAAAGGATTAACCAGATTGTCTTTCGATAGGTGAGAGTAGAGTTCTTTATTTTCTTCTTTGGATGGTTTCTATTTCCTGACCTTCCTCTAATTAGTAAGCTTTGACTTGTGGTGTGTGTGTTTTTTCAATTTTTGCCTTTCTTTAAAAAAAGAAAATCAAAGCTGATTTATATTGTAAAAGCAGCCCATGTGCATAATAGATTAAAACATACTACCCAAAGTGATCTATGGATTTAATGCAATCCCTATCAAAATACTAATGATACTCTTTTTTTTTTTTTCCTTTTTGTCTTTTTTCGTGACCGGTAACGGGATCGCAACCCTCGGTGTCGCGCCCGTACCGCGACCGGGAACAGGATCGCAACCCTCGGTGTCGCACCCGCACCGCACTCAACCAGTGAGCGGACCGGTCTCTATATGGGATCCGAACCCTCGGCGGGAGCGCTGCCACACTCCCAAGCGCCGCACTCTACCGAGTGCGCCACCGGGCCGGCCTGCAATGATACTCTTTACAGAAATAGAAAAACAATCCTAAAATTCATATGGAACCACAAAAGACCCTGAACAGGCAAAGCAATCCTGAGCAAAAATAACAAAGCTGGAGGCATCACACTATATGACTTCAAAGTACACTACAAAGCCATAGTAACCAAAACAGCATGGTACTGGCATAAAAATGGACACATAGACCAATGGAACAGAATAGAGATCCCAGTAATAAATCCACATACTTATATCCAGAGTACACAGGATACTCAAACAACTCAATAGCAAACAACAAAAACAAATAACCAACTAAAAATGGGCAAAAGATCTGAATAGAAATTTCTCAAAAGAGGACATACAAAAGGACAACAAAAAAATTCAGCATCATTAATCACCAGGGAAATGCAAATCAAAACCACAACAAGATATCATCTCACATCAGTTAGAATGGCAATTATCAAAAAGACAGAAAATAACAAATGCTGGGGAGGATGTGGAGAAGGGAGAACACTTCTACACTGTTGGCAGGAATGTAAATTAGTATATCCATTATGGAAAACAGTATGGAGGTTTCTCAAAAAACTACAGATATTTGATTAGAGTGCAGTGTTATAACACCAAGGTCAAGGATTTGGATCCCCATACTGGCCAGCCACCCCAAACAAACAAAAAGACCAAAAATGAAACAAAATTAAAAAACTACAGATAGAATTACCATTTGATCCAGCAATTCCACTATTGGGTGTTTATCCAAAGAAAAGGAAATCAGTATGTGGAAGAGACACCTGCGCTCCCATGTCCACTGCAGCACTATTGACAATAGCTAAGTTATGGAATCAGCCTAATTGTCCATCAACAGATGAATGGCTAAAGAAAATTGGTATATAGGCACAATGGAATACTATTCAGCTATAAAAAAAGAATGAAATCTTGTCATTTGCGGTAACATGGATGAGCTTGGAGGACCTTATGTTAAGTGAAATAAGCCAGGCACAGAAAGACAAATACTGCATGTTACCACTAGTATGTGGGAGTTTAAAAAGTTGATATCATAGAAGTAGAGAGTAGCATAGTGGTTACTAGAGGCTAGGAAGGATGTCACCACCCTAATTTTACAGGTGGGAAATACTATGAAACAAATCTGAGGAACAAGACCACTAAGAGATTTGCCTAGGCTCATACAAGCAATAAGTGCTAGGGATGAGATTCAAAGTCAGGTTTGTCAAGGGCCAGAGGCCAAAGATAAGGATCTCCCAGGTGGTACTAGAGTCTGATACTGGTTGGGTATAAATAATTAATTCAAATAATGTAGTACTTGCTAAAATAGGGGCTATATTCAGTCTTAAGGGGCATCTAGGAAGGGGCATCTAGGAAGACTTCAGAGAGACAATGTATTTGAGCTGGGTCTTTAAAAAGCTGAAGGACATTGGGACTCCTCTGCTTCTCTTATACCTCACATCCAATCTATCTGCAAATTATGCTCTTTCTACCCTCAAAATAGATCCAGCACCTGACATCCAGATCTTGGCTTCTAGATACCACTCTCCTTGGAGGAATCAGGGCTCCTTGGAAAATGGCTGATTCCAGGGCTGGGGCAGGGAAATCAGAGAAGAGCCTGGAAAATCTTGTAACACCAGCAAGTAAAGAAGTGCTCAAAGAATGATGGACATGTGTCAAAAAGACAAGGAACCAGCTGGAAGGAGTTACCAAAGGCCAAAGCAGGGACACTTTGAGCATCAAACTGAATAATGGCAGTGATTGATTAACCAGTTGAATAAGGTAAGAACCCATGAGTTCCTACTGATTCTGAAAATATTAGAGAATGAGACAGACAAAGGGAAGGAGGGAGGAATGCAGAGTGGAAGGATAGTCAGGAAAGTTCTTTTACAGTAGGAAACTAATAATTGTAAAAGGAATTTAGAGTTAAAAATGACCAACTTATAACCACCGTGATAATAACTGATTCAGGTAGAAATGTATGTTAAAACCATTGGGTGAAATTGGAGGGCTGTGTGTGTATAGGACATTTACATAGTCTGTATTAATTTCAAAAGGAAAATAGTAACTTTACAGTGGAGAAATCTAACAGACACTGTCTTAACCAAACGACAAAAATTACCAGGTGGTAACAGGACAACCCAACACCACCTGCCTCCTGAAAGAATACCTTGCTTCCAAGGTATTTCTAACAAAAATGCACAACCCAAATCTAATTGTCTAAATATCAGGGAAACTCAAACTGTAGCCCAGCTTCTTATTGGGACCAGCAGTTGTTTCTCCCATGTGGGATTGCCTCTTTCCTGCATCCCACATCCTCGTCTTTTATGGCTTATCCCCTCAGTTCTGCTGGAGCACATCCTCAAGTTACTTCCTCAAAAGTGGCCTTCCTAAGAAGAAGGTAAACTTTCTAAGTAATCTTGTGCTTCAATATGTCTTTATTTTGTTCTCATACTTGATTGATGTATTAGTCCATTTTGTGTTGCTGTAACAGAAATACCTGAGACTGGGTAATTTGTAAAGAACAGAGGCTTATTTGGCTTATGATTCTGAGACAGCTGCACCTGGCATGGGCCTCAGGCTGCTTCTACTCATGGCAGAAAGCAGCACGCAGCCAGCAGGTACAAGCAGATCACATGGCAAGAGGAAGCAAGAGAAAGAGAGAGGAGGTGCCAGGGTCTTCTAAACAACCAGCTCTTGTGGGAACTAACAGAGCGAGAACTCACTCACTACCCCTCCTCCCCTAGGGAGAGCATTAATCCATTCAGAGGGATCCACCCTCATGACTCAAACAGCTTCCAACACTGCCATATTGGGGATCAGATTTCCGCATGAGTTTTGGAGGGGACAGCACATCCAAACTCTTATCAATTGATATAGAATTCAATGCTAAAAATCGTTTTTTCTTAGGACCTATAAGGTGTTTCATTTTCTTCTAGGATCTGGATATATGAGTTTGCTGATGAAAAATCTGATGCTAATCCAAGAGCTTTCCTCAAACACACACACACACACACACACACACACACACACAGGAAAATTCAAAAGTTCAGCCATCAAGTTGGAAGCCCTACTCCAGTACCAAAAGCCCCAATTAGCCTTTTATTGGCCTACTCGGAAGTATGAATGGACCTTAAAGAAATACCAGACATTCAAAGAAACCCTGCAACGTGAAGAAGAGCACTAAGATAAACCAATCCCATCATCCATTCTGCCTCCCTCTTTCCTAACAGACCCCCAATTTGTTCAGGTGCCCCCCTTCATACACATCAGGGACACCAACCCCTCCTTTACCTCCAGGAAAAAGTCTGATGAATCTAGAGTAACCT